TCAAGCAATTCTCCTGCCTCAGCCTCCCAAGTAGCTGGGATTACAGGCACCTGCCACCATGCCTGACTAATTTCTGTATTTTTAGTAAAGAGGGGTTTCACCATGTTGGCCAGGCTGGTCTCTAACTCCTGACCTCAAATGATCAGCCCTCCTGGGCCTCCCGAAGTGCTGATATTACAGGTGTGAGCCATCACACCCAGACCATTGTTGCCTTACTTGAAGAAATTGCCACAGTCACCCCAACCTTCAGTATCCAGCACCCTGGTCAGCAGCCACCAACACTGAGACAAGACCCTCAACAGGCAAAAACATTATGAATTGCTAAAGGTTCAGATAGATTATTATTAGTATTTTTTAGCCGTAAAGTATTTTAAAATTAAGGCACATATGTTGCTTTTCGAGACATAATGTTATTGCATACTTAATAGACTATAGTGTAGTATAAGCATACCTTTTATGTGCACTGGGAAACCAAAAAATCATGTGACTTGCTTTATTGCAATATTCGCTTTGTTGTGGTGGTCTGGAACTAAACCTGTATATCTGAAGTTTGCCTGTATATATATGCGCATGCACACACACATGCACACAAGCACACACACATCCACTCCCAATCTTATTGGTTCTGTTTCTAATGCACTTAGGAGAACCCTAAGTAACACAATCTCTCACCTACAAAAAGTGGAGTTGGTGTAATGGAAAGTGTATGAATGGACAGTTAGAACTGAGTATTGACTCTTTCTCTACTATTATCTTTGAGGGAATTACTCCACCTCTTAAAACTTTAAAGTTCTCATCAGCAAAATGTTGTGGACCTACCCGCTTTGCAGAGATGATGTGAGAATTAAGTGAGATAATACATGTAATGCATCTGGGGCACAGTAGATCCTAAATAATCCTCTTCCATTGTATGACATCCATTGCAAATATGAGTTATTTATTTTCTCAGGTTTTCAACATAAACCTAGAAGGAGGTCACATAACCAGAAGATCTGTTGCTACAACTGAATGCAAGATTGCACATGCTAGGGAACTCTTATCAATCAATTTCAGAAGATGCATACATCAAATGATCTCTAGGTTTATAATAATTATTTTGAATGTGGTTGCATATTTGAGTGAGATGGTATGGTAACAGACTCACAGGGATGCCATATCGGGTCCTGTAGAGAGTCCTCATTGCGACGCTCGTTCCACACAGACAGCATTCGTTCATATCAGCTGCAACTTGACACGCAAGGCATGGGAAACAAAACGTGCCACAGAGACCTAGACACATGAAACCAGGGGTACACGTTACTCCACTCTGCCCCTGCCACAACTGAAAGTTTAGCTTGCTTTCACAAATGGCAGTCCAAGTCACGAGGCCTTGGCCACGTAACCTGCTGCTAAGCCCATCTTCAGTGTTTCTGTTTAGCTTTGCATCAGTTTCTCCCTCCACACGCAAATCATTTCAGGAATGACCACGCCTTTGTAAAGTATATCATTCTTGTCATAGCTCTGCCTTCATTCATTTGTTCATTGATGCAGTAAAACGTATTCATTTTCCAGACATTACCCTCAGTACTGACAGTGCCCCTGGCTCAAGTCTAGTAGTGAAGGCAGATCATAGGGAAAGTTCTCCAACAGAAACGTGTTTAAAATGCCAACAGGTCACCCAGAAAAATGGGGCCTACAAGGCCCTGAGTAGGAAATGCTGTTTGAGCCGACTACTGAAGGATGATGAGATGTTTTAAAGGTGGACAAAAAGGAAAAGAGCCTCTTCGAGGTAATCTGGCATATCCTGGCAAAGGCTAGTGTTCATTCAATACGGCTGGAGCCCTGGGATGGGATGAGGATTTAGCTGTGGGTTGAGGCAGGTTGGGGAGCAGACGATGAAAAACTCTGAGTGTTAAGAGTGTGTCATGAGAGTTATGAGGAACTACTGAAACATTTTAAGAGGGGAGAATAATTTGATCAGATCTACATTTAAGAAAATGTGCTACTAAGCAATTAAGCTTTGATTGGAACTTGTGTATTCATTTAATTGGGTAATAATAATACTAGGGGTAAGAGGGTTAACATGTTCATCTTTAGAGAGTTTCACCAATGTGATCTAATTCTTACTTTGATTTGCAGATGTTGAACTGGTGTCCTGAGAAGCTTAAGTCATCACTCCAGACAATGAGAGTGAAAAAACTAACCCAATTGTTTTATTCTCTAGGTAATTTTCCCTTGCTATGCTACTGAGTGTGTAATTCTTTTTTTATTTTTATTTTATTTATTTATGATTGAGTCTTGCTCTGTTGCCAGGCTGGAGTGCAACGGCACTCTCGGGTTCAAGCAATTCTTCTACCTCAGCCTCCTGAGTAGCTGGGACTACAGGCACCCGCCACCACACCTGGTTAATTTTTGTATTTTTTAGTAGAGATGGGGTTTCACCATATTGGCCAGGCTGGTCTTGAACTCCTGACCTTGTAATCTGCCCGCCTTGGCCTCCAAAAGTGCTGGGATTACAGGTGTGACCCACCACACCCAGCCTGAGTGTAATTCTTAACACATTCAAAGTTCAATTTCAGGCCAGGCATGGTGGCTTATGCCTGTAATCCTAGCAATTTGGGAGGCCGAGGCGGGTGGATCACTTGATGTCAGGTGTTTGAGATCAGCCTGGTCAGCATGGTGAAACCTCGTCTCTACTAAAATTACAAAAACTAGCTGGGTGTGGTGGTGCATGCCTGTAACCTCGGCTACTCGGAGGCCAAGGTAGGAGAATCACTTGAACTGGGGAGGCAGACATTGCAGTGAGCTGAGATCTCACCACTACATTCTAGCCTCGTTGACAAAGTGAGACTCTGTCTCAAAAAAACAAAAAGCAAAAACAAGGTTCAATTCAACTCTCATTCAAAGTCAATTTCAACTGTCAAGTTAAAGGATAATGTATTTTATTTTCTTGTCTTAGAGTACTATGTGGACCAAGGCAAGCAAATAGACTTCAGAGCAAGTTTTCTGTAGGTGGATGTGTTTGTTTCTTGGTCATTATTGAGAACTAAGCACCTTGCTCCTCTCTGCAACGCCCATCTCACCCCAAACTTCCTTTCCTGCAAGTTCATTTAGAGAGATCTCGAAGTAAGAGATCTTTTAGAGAGATCTTATAAAAAGAAAACAGGCTGGGCGCGGTGGCTCACGCTTGTAATCCCAGCACTTTGGGAGGCAGAGGCTGGTGGATCACCTGAGCGGGAGTTCGAGACCAGCCGGGCCAATATGGTGAAGCTCTGTGTCTACTGAAAATACAAAAATTAGCGGGGCGTGGTGGCAGGCGCCTGTAATCCCAGCTACTCAGGAGGCTGAGGCAGGAGAATCTCTTGAACCCGGGAGGCAGAGGTTGCAGTGAGCGGTGATTGTGCCATTGCACTCTAGCCTGGGGGACAAGAGTGAGACTTTGTCTCAAAAAAAA